CAGGCAGGCACTCCTCGACTACGCCGCACAAAAAGGAATTCCCGTTGCCCAGACCAAGGCCAAACCCTGGTCCACTGACGAGAACCTCTTCCACATCTCCTACGAAGCCGGAATTCTCGAAGATCCCAACACTACTCCCCCCGCTGACATGTGGAAACTTACTGTGGCGCCTGAAGATGCGCCGCAGACTCCTGAGCGACTCTCCATTGAGTTCAAGGCCGGTCTCCCTGTGAAAGTGACCGTCCCTGATCAGAACAAGGTTTACACCGATCCCGTCGAGATTTTCCTTGCTCTAAACGCGATTGCCCGCAAACACGGTGTCGGCCGTATCGATATTGTTGAAAATCGCTTTATCGGCGTCAAGTCCCGCGGATGCTACGAGTCTCCTGGCGCAACTATCCTCCGTGTCGCGCACGTGGATCTTGAGGGTCTTACTCTCGACAGGAACGTCCGTGCACTTCGTGATCAATTCGTCACCATTGAGCTGAGCCGCATCCTCTACAACGGCCACTTCTTCACACCCGAGCGTGAGTTCGTCACCAGTTCGATTCCTACAAGTCAGAGGACTGTCAACGGCCTCGTTCGCCTCAAGCTCTACAAGGGCAACGTTATTGTCGAAGGTCGTGAGAGTTCTGAGGTTTGTTGTCCAATCGTCTGGTCCATACCTTTTCGTTGATTGCGTGTATCACAGGGTCTCTACGACGAACAACAATCCTCCATGGACGAGCTTGGTGGATTTGAGCCCACTGATACGTCTGGATTCATTCAGATTGAGTCCATCAGAATCAAGAAGTAAGCCGATTATTTACCCAAAGTTGATTGTCTGTGTCTTAGCTTGGTTTTATACAGGTGGGCGCAAGCCAACATCCGCAAGGGACAGGCTGGCGTTACACCCAAGGATGTGTATGGCAGTCGTGTTTAAACAGACGTTTTTTCTTTATATGAACTCGATGTACCATCTGTATTTGAATGATGATAGTTTGTTTTGTGTACTCCTTATTCGATGAGACGGAGCAAGCGAGAGCGCTTGTATCTTACAGCTCTACACTATACAGGGTCACCAGACAACATGAAGCAGACGAATTTATCAAACACCAGAGTCCTCGGGTACAAATGCGTTGTACTAATTCATACAATGTGTCTTGTCAATTCCCAATATACATCCCACTATCAGGTTTCGCAAGGACGCGTGCTTCCTTATCTGCATCGAAGGCTGCCTTGACCTAGAGAATATCGTGAGAGGACCATCTTGACGAGACTGAATTGCGCCACATACCTCCTCAAAGAACAATTCATCAGATAGGACGCGGAGGCCAGTCAGTGCGAGTCCCTTTGTCACCTTGATTGCGGCGACGTGCGCTTCCATCGTTTGAGCAGCACAAGTGAACTTTGGAGTATGATTCCCGCCATTCGGTTCGGTCGGAATGGCTGCAAATGTTGATCAGTATTCAATGGCCAGAACCCTCACAGAAAACCTGGCGGACCATATATAGGATGAAATGCTGGAAGTTCTAAAAATTTTTCAGGCAAGTGTCAATGGTACATTACAGTAGTATCCACCATATGTGACATTGCCCTAACATTGACAGTCATAAGTGCTTGATATTAAAACTGGAGTTAGGTGAACTTACAAAATCGGTTGACGCAGAAGAACCCAGATGGTTGCTGGTCATATCGTATCGATCGACTATCGTATTGCCAAATTCCCTGGCTATGTCGATGCGATAGTCAATCTTAAAAGCTGTAGGTCCGGTCAAAACATACCGAGAACTGGATTCTGCCACAGATCAAGGTAAGCAAGGTTCATCTCGATGTTCACACCACAACCAGTTGCCAATGCAGCAGCGCTAAATGTCCATGTTAGATAAAGATCCTTCTATTTCCACAAGTCCGACGTTACTCACTTAAAACACCGTTTGATACGTTCCACCAAGTCCACGAGATCCGTCTTATTTGGAGCCCTTGCGATGTAGGTTAGTTTTGCATTATCAGGAATGACTTCAACGCTAAGTGAGCATGGAAAGTTCGAAACAAAAACGGGTGACCCACCATTCGGGACCCAATTCAAGCCTTCTATAATTCCATGGACACGAAGTTCTGGTTTCAGTTGCTGGCGTAGAGATGAGATAGAGTTATAAGCGGAGACAGCGGCATCCAGAGCATTGATACCCTCCCTATGCGATAATGAGCAACGTTTGTTTTGCATATGAGGATTTCGAAACACAAACCAGGGCGAATCAGCAGCATGAGCACTTGTCAGGTATCAGTCATAGGATTCGGATGACCGTAAATGACGTACGTTTTGCCTGTATACTCTACAAACATGGTTTGGGCTGCGTTCGTTGGGCCATCAGCGGCAGAGTGTGCCTCTCCCGGTGCAGGGTGTGACCTATTAGAAAGTTAACATGTAGAAAGCAGTCTGATTACCGGAGGAGAACGTCCAACACACATGATACAAACGTCCATATCCTTGTAACCACCCTTCTCAAGAAGAAGAATCTTACCTCCTCCACTTTCTTCCGCTACACTAGAGTGAATGAATCGCACATTAGAATTGAAACGTAGTCCATACCAGGCGTTCCCAAGATAACGATTTTTCCTGGTATGCCATGGGTCACCAACGCCGTCTTAACAGCTATCGCGATTCCTACCCCAGACATAGCAATGAGGTTATGACCACAGGCATGTCCAATGCCAGGAAGCGCGTCCATTTCTGAGTTGACGCCGAGAACCCTTCCGTCTTGACCTACAGAGTATTCGGCTCGCCATGCTGTCTCCAACCCAGCGTAATGACGTGTCACCTGAAAGTCGTGTTTCTCCAAAAATGCAGTCAATACATCGTGTGCATAGCTGGTTTTCAGATGTAAGTTTAAACCCCTTTCTCTTGAAGATTACATGTAATGTTCTCACTTCTCTTGGAAAGCAATTTCAGGATGACCTACGGAATTGTTAGGAAGGAACATAGTATCAGACCTGGACCTATTGTGAATGGTGTAACGCACTGTGGAGTTCGAGGCTCAATTCGCGTAATTGAGGATCAAGTTCATCCAGTTTCGACTCAACAGTTTTCACGACTTCTGGATCCAATGACCGAATAGAGCCATTGGTAGTGTACTCTGGAGGTGCTGAATATGAAGGTCTTCCAGGCGTTAAAATCCAATCACCGCCCGAACATAAGCCAGGATGGTGGCCATGCTAGTTAAGAATAAACTGGTGTGTCGCTTCGCTGTCGTCAACATACCTTGTCGTCTATGCTCCAGCTCGGCCCATTAAAGGCTTTCGAAAACGTGGCAGTGACTTGCGTTGATTTGGATTTGGATCGCCGAGGTAGTAGGTTCTTGAGGCTGAAATTGCTGAAGCATCCTGCGCTAGAGGTGAGCTCCATGAGAGACGTCGGGACAGAGTCAGCAGAAGGTTTTGACAGATTTGTCTACATAAATGGGATACATAAGTAGCCAACCACCTGTGTGGTTCTGCAGGGTTCTGCTGAAATTGAATCCGGCATGATCGGGAGACAGCGATTCCATCTTCGCGTGCATGCCAGGAAATGCATTTACCGCCTTCATAGGCCTTCATGTATATCAATACTCGTAGATTACCCATAAAATATGTACAGAAACTATATTAGACTATGTACTAATCATATCACAGTATAGTAGCCCAAGCGCTCATAGCTTCCTTGGCAAATTGCTGTCTTCCAAAAAAGCAGCGACGGCAGTTGCCCGAATTTCGGATCTTTGATGCTGACATAAGTACCCTACAATCTTCCTTCACACTCTGACGTTTATCACGAATCATCGGACTTGGCAAGACATTAGTCTAAAGGGACAGCGTTCGCATCTCTTTCTGGGAAGTGTGCGCCCACCTGGACACATGCACATCATGCCACATCTTCGATGATGATTTTCCGCCGAAGATGTTTCTCTAGGCTTTGTTGAAAGTGCTACCAGAAGTCCAGCGTCCCTCAAACTACTCTCAAAATAGGGTATATCAACTTTTGAAGTGAAGCGAAACGAGACAACACAGAAAGACAGTAAAAGCGTTGACAAATCGAGTCTAAGCTTGATCGGGCTAATGATCAGAGAGCATTTACCTATGAAAATCACACTGCCAGCAAATACGTTTTATACTTTGGCAGACGCCAATATCTTGTAACAAACTCCTTCATGAGACGTTAACAGAAAAAGTAGAGCGAGCAGGACTTCAGGATCAGAGTTTACTGATCACGAAGAAATCAACCGACCACCTGGTAGCGTGCGTAGACCGTGCTTCTTCGAGATAATTGTTGCAATGCCAAATGGCCACCTCCGAGCTCTGCATATCCTGCATCACATTGAGAAGTAATGATCGGGTCTTCTGTCATGATCGTTGAACTTCAACGCACCAGCTTTCAACCTCGACAACTCCGAATGATGGGTGAAGATGATGAGCACTGTTTTGGCCAATAACACTCTCAGCGATGTTTAATACTTCTATAGTTATAGTTATGAGCTTTTTCTTTTACGCCATGCGAAATCTGTAACAAGAACAGGGCAAATAGAAAAGTTGGACGATCAAGTGGCTTGATAATGTCAACACCCTGGATTAGGAAGATTATCGTCAAGGCTGCCAGTGTGCACCGGCGATGCCGAGCATCTACGAGGCCTTGAGGTTACCATCCGTTCTGAACGACTGCTTCGAACTGGTTACCCAACCATGTCCAAAGACTCAAAATGGGACGTTAAGATCGAGAATTCCAAGCATTACCAGGCAGGGACGTTGATACCACATGAACGAAAATGAGGTTTGCTCTGCAATAAGTTTTGTCAAGTCGGCTTTGGCAATCTCTTTCAATCGGTCTGTAAATCACATGAAGAAGCTATAACGTTGTCATGATATCAGAAACGTCAGGCTTGAGGGTCGTGACGGCACCGCCGTCAGAATTCGGTGTTTATGAATAAAGACCATCAAGAAAGAGAAAGGAAGCAAAAAAGAAATCATGGGACCTGAATTTCTTACAATTCCCGCTAGCCGGATTGAACGACTGACCTCGTCATTTATTCCATGTCAGCGACAAGTTACAAGTGACGCGCTCTACCACTGAGCTAAGAGGGAAGTGATAGATTCAGACCCCTCTGGCTACATCACAGCAAATACCTCCTCAACCACAAGACATCGCAAAAAAATGGAGAAAACTTACATTTAAGGTTGTCCGAAGCAGCAAGTCCAGCATGTGTTACTGCCGATAGGAAATCCTTGTAGACCATTTTCAACTGGGCAAGTGGGCTTGTTGGGCAAGCAGCCTAACCAACATGTGGCGTGTACACGGGCGTCGGAGGGTGCAGCGTTGGCGATGGATGAAGCAACGACAGCACTGACCAACGCAATCAAAGACAACTCCATCTACGACGTAGACATCAACGTTCCGATAGATAACCAAGCTGAAACAAACACACTCTAAGGCCTTGGCTTGGATAATTGATGAGCGGAAGCGTTACTTAAATTCAACAGATAGATTACCACAAGCGGATTCCGGTTCAGTGCCTTGAGGGAATTTTCATGGGCCAGCATGTCAAATCAATCTTATAGAATATGAAAAACACATGGTAACGTATGGCGATGACGACCAGCCAAGACATGCTCAATTTCGATTGACACGACCGATCGCTTACACCCTCGAGCAGCGGAAAATCAAGTCATGAGGTGCAGCGATTTGTCTTTGATCAACCAATGTTTGCGCAGGCGAGAAATAACTAGTCCATCGTGATACTACCTTATGAAGGCTGTTTTGGCCTAGGTGTGTTTATACTCGAACTGTTATAATCGTATGGTACTAGTGACGGCGTCGCCACACTCACGTGACTACGTAGTTAATTTTCATCCTCTGGAGTTCCGTGGCTTCATTCTGAACCCACGGACCTCCAGGTGAGTACTTAGTTCTAGTATTAATATGAATATCATTCTGAACCCACGGACCTCCAGTCTGATTCACCAGCCTTCGGTCTGAGTGTGTAGCCGCTGCGGATATCTTGCTGCCACAGGTTATGGGCCCCGGCCCCACACACTTACACTGAAGAAAGAATCACACATTGCTCCGTTCGCGAACGTCGCAGCATATATTAGGACCTTTTCATTCCACACGACTTCTCCCGCGCTTACTAGTTCTGATACATCCCACGCACAAAATGGAAGACACCATTCGGCAACCTTCCTCGAAGCTCGGATCTATCAAATACACAGAATGGGAAAAGACCATGTTCGGACGAATCATGTCGGTTGGCGGGGCACGAATAGTCACAGGCGAAGAGATGCCGCCGCTCCTCGAGCCAGACAACGCGAACTCCATCAACGCCTGGAACTCCTACCAGCTTCGCAGCGAGCGCACAGCAGGCGAGATTTACCAGGGCCTCGACGAGGGTAACAAGATTCACGTCGACGCGATTCGAACTAAGCCGGCGTTGATGTGGGCGAAACTCCGCGAGGTTCACTCCAAGTCTGCGCCCAACGCTCGTTTTAACTCGCTTAGCGATTTATTCAACATCCGTCTTCGTGAAAACGAAACCCTTACACAGCTCTGCACGAGGGTCAAAGGAACCATGCAACGCATCCGCACGCTTCGCCCCGCACCGTACATCGGCCCCGACGGAATGATATCACCAGCCTACACACTGGAGATGCTCGATGACGAGCTGTGCTCGATGGCTATGCTCCGCGCGCTGCCCCGCGAGGAGTATGCCCCTTTTATATCCTCTGTGCTCATGCTCAGCAAGCTCACCAACGAAGCAGTCGAAGAGGCCTTTCGCACCGAAGAAACTCAACGTGCTGTAGCAGAAGCAGAGGCCGCCGCCGCCGCCAAATCTATCTCCTGTTACATTTGCGATGGCCCCCACAGGATCTTGGAATGCCCAACCCTGCCAGCCGCGCGCGCGCTACCCAAAAAGGAGGACCCCGGCAACAAGCAAAAGAAGCGAGGAGGACGTCGCGGAGGCAACGCTAAAGCCGACGCGGCTAAAGCTGTCGACACACCTAAAGTCGAAGAAGGATGCGACGGTCCCGCCGCCAAAGCCGAATCTGCAGTCCGTCGACCCTCTCTTTCACCCCCTGACCCGTCTGACATGTTGTGGAATGCAGACTCGGGCGCCACGAGTTCTATGACGCCGCACCGTGAATGGTTCACTCCAGAATCTTTTAGATCCTGGAGGATACCTGTGCGTGTCGCGAACGGTGCCACTGTATACTCAGCGGGGAAGGGGTCAGTGAGATTTAAACCAGAGGGAAGGGATCAGCACGGACAGGAATTTAGCGACGTTACGTTCACCAATGTCCTTTTTGTACCTCAACTAGCCAACAATTTGCTCTCTATCACCTCACTCGTTGTCAACTGCGGCGTCACCGCCACATTCCGCGGCAGAAAGGTACTGTTCACTGTCAAGGATGAGCTAATGTTCACGGCCACCATCAATAAGGACCTCACGTCCTATCTTGACGGGGAGACCATCGTGTCGTCACCCACGCACGATGCTAATGCGACTTATGTTGGCCCGACGTATTCGTCAAAGGTAGACCGGCCACTCCTACACCGTAGAATGTGCCACCTCGGGGCGGATAGACTGGAACAGCTGATCAAACAGGAGCTCACTGAGGACCTCGACGTTTCCTCGAACACACCATTACCTCATGTGTGCGAACCGTGCTTGCAAGGAAAGCAGCACCGCGCTTCATTCCCGCATACGGCGAGCAGAGCGACTGAAACGCTAGGCCGAGTTTTCAGTGACGTCCACGGCCCGATGCGCGTAGGCGGACACCACTCGAATCAAAAGTGGTGGGTCACTTTCACTGACGACCACACGCGCTGGATGGAAGTGTGCGACATGTTCCGAAAGAGCGATACCTTCGACGCGTTCAAGGTCTTCAAGGCGCGAGCCGAAAAGCAAACCGGGCAGAGGATTAAGTGCATCCACTCCGATCAGGGCGGGGAGTACACGTCCAAGGCGTTCACTGACTACTGCAAGTCTGAGGGTATACGCGTCGAGTACACAACCACGAACACGCCTCAACAGAACGGCGTAGCAGAACGTTTGAACCGGACCATCGAAGAAGCTGTAACATCGATGTTAGCGGAATCGAACCTTCCAGAGAGCTTCTGGACGTACGCGCTGAGTACGTATAGACACGTCCACAACCGGTGTCCGACTTCAGCACTACCGCGTAGCGTCACGCCGTTCGAGATGTACAAGGGCAGGAAGCCGCGAATAGGCCACCTCCGAGTGTTCGGCTGTGCAGCGTACGTTTTAATGGGTCGAGACAAGCGCAGGGGACTCCAGGGGCACACTGCACCTGGAATATTCGTTGGTTACCCCGACGATCACGTCGGCTGGCGAGTCTACGTGCTGACGACGCAAAAGGTAGTCATATCTCGAGACGTTGTATTCGATGAATCTGTTTTCCCTGGACTTACGCTGTCTGGCATGCCGCCGGCTCCACCGCTTAAGGACTTCGACGACATCACAAACTACGACGCCTACGACCTCGACCCGCTACCGCACAATACCGCGCCCAACGTCAATGACGACGGCGACGACAAAGACCTGTTCGACGACGATGAACCCCTCACACCACTACCTAGCGACAGCGAGTCCGACGGTTCGGTGGGAGACCACGACGGTTCGGTGGGAGTGGAGGCCCAACAGCCTCCGCCAGCACGAGCGCCTCGTCAACCCAGACCGTTGCCGCCCCCACGAGAACCCAGCCAACGCTTGCGCTTCCCCGCTCGAGATCGTAACGCCGAGTACTACGACGCTATCCAACGCCAAGAAAGTCGCGAATCGCCACTCACACGTGAACCGCCGCCCCCTCCGGCGCCTTCGCCCTACCCCGAGGAGCCCCCGGAGCACCTCCTATGGGACGTCGACGTTGGAAACATCGACGACCGCGGCGAGCAGGAAGTAAACCTCGTTCTGAACTCAGGTTCTGACGAGGCTTTGCTTCTTGCAGGCCGGGCCTTCGTGGAGCATGGTGAAGACGTCGGAGGCTTCGACGCCATACGTGCTAACGTGGCGCAAGCTTACAAGACCGGCGCTCATGACACAAACCCCCGTTCGTATCGAGAGGCCATGACGAGTGAAGACGCTGCGGAGTGGCATAAGGCGATGTGCGAGGAAATGAACTCCCTCCGCAACAACGGCACCTGGCGCCTGGTATACCTACCACCTGGGCGCCGGGCTATTGGCTCTCGTTGGGTTTTCAAGGTCAAGCATCTACCCGACGGCGCAATCGATCGATTCAAGGCTCGCGTAGTCGCACAGGGTTTCAGCCAACGGCCAGGCGTCGATTTCGATGAGACTTTTGCCCCCACGGCACGTTGGGCCGCGGTGCGGACTATCCTGGCTCTCGCGGCCATTGAGGACATGCACCTCGAGTCTGTGGACATCTCGTCAGCTTTTCTGCACGGCATCGTGGACGCGGAGCTCTACATGAAGTTCCCCGAAGGTTTCCCGGAGGACGTTCCGCCAGACATCGCGCGCAAGCCAGGCGAAGGTGACGCCTGCGCCAAGCTTGAAAAGGGCATCTACGGCCTGAAGCAAGGCGCTAATCTCTGGAACAAGCGGCTCCACGAGGTCCTAGTCGGCCTCGGCTTCACTCGAATCGTCTCCGACCCTTGCGTATACGTCTACCTTCGCGACGGCGTGCGTATTATAATCCCAGTGCATGTCGACGATATGACCATAGCCTCGGTATCTCGCCCTGCAATCATGAAGGTAATCGCTGAGCTGCGCGGTTTCTTCAAGTTGCGCCACCTTGGCCCCACCACTGGCCTCCTCGGAGTTGTGGTGACACGCGACCGCCCCAACCGCAAGCTCTGGATCGACCAGCGAGCCTACGCAATCGAAGTTCTTTCTCGCTTCAACATGCTCGACTCGAAGGCTGTCGCCACGCCCCTCAATCGCGGCACTCGACTCTCGAAGGCCGACTCACCCCAGACCCCCGAGGAAGCAAAGGAAATGCTCGGCGTACCCTACATTCAAGCTACTGGAGCGCTCCTCTACCTTGCGATGTGCACGCGCCCTGACATCGCGCACGCCGTCGGCGTCCTCTGCCGCTTCAACGCCTGCCCT